ATGATCACCAAATTCATATCGGCGACAATAATTCTACAATTTATCAATCCTATACCAGTAGGTATTCTATAATGTACCTGTCCGCATCTTCAACCTCTTTATCGACACTAAATTTTGCATTTATCATATAAAATTGTTTATTATATACACGTACCTCATTATCGTTCCATATAGCCTACGCTCTTTTTGATTAAATTATTTTTCAAGTCATTATCAGATACTTATTCGACAAACACACTATGTCATTATTAATTTACCGTTAAAACACTCCTACATCGTTTCAATATACGTTTGATCGTTTTCGCGCATTCGTGTTATTGAAAAAGCGAATTATGGCCGTCTTTTGGATTCCGAGCGTAGCAAGAGAGCTATTAATTTTGCAATGATATTTATTTCTTTCTTTGTCTTTTTCCATAGACACGTTTTTTCCTAGTAAACTTGCTTCGATTTTTACGTGTGACAACTTTTCTGAAAGCTCAAGTTATCTATATAGCACTTTAAAGAAATATTTTTTTCGATTTTTGTCACCATTTTTTAAATAAAAGCACTTAAGTGGGAAAAAAACGTAGGAAAAAGTACAATTTCACGATTTTATTATTTTATAAAAACACGGACGATGTTTTCTACCAGAAAAAAATGATTTAATCAAAATATTACCGGATACCTTTTTTAATGAATTTTTGATTTAATTCCATACGGTTAGGGTGACGGTTAGGTGATGTGGTAAAATTTTCAAAATCGTAGGACGACTTTTTTTATTTTTAAATGAAATGAAATTTAAACAAAAATCGTAAAAAAAAATTACGGCACTTCAAATTATGTATTACCGAACTGCGCTCGGAATCGTCTTTCTTCAAGCAACGGTTTATTGTGTTTTACAGTGGCTGCTCCCATCCCCAGTACCGGCTATATTTATTTTTTTTTTCCTTTTATTATTGCTTTAAATCGATCATTATGCGTTTGTGTCGCACGTCCTCGTAGCCGCACAATTCGTCCGGTCCGAGTGAAAAACGTAACCGTCCTGTATATGACGATAACGTATTTATGTCGGGCGTTTCGGCGGCGTCGTGTGGGTGGGCGGCATGTCGTCACCGTTATCGTTTGCACGCGCGCAGACGCACAGATAAACCGGCCGACGACGGCTACGGAACGAATCGGCTGCCGTTCGAGGTGACGGAGCGGGCCGGTCGAAAAAGGGACCGGCGACGACGCGCGCGTTTCAAAAAAAAAACTCGCGCTACCGGGCGGCGACGGACAACGTTGCGAAATATTCACGCCTCGTGTAAACACGCACGCCGTGGGAATGTATATTAATAACAATAATAATACGTTATAACACGCCGACAGACGGCCCCGGAGGTGTCGGTTGGCGAACACGAAATCGAGACGAAATATAATATGATATATAGGTGTATAAGTGTAATATATACCATATATTTTATGAAAATAATACATATATATATATATATATATATATATTTATTTATATATTTATATTTATATTTATATTTATATATATATATATATATATATATTTATACATGTTACGTCATTAAAAAAACATTGGTACAAGTTCAAGTAAAATGTACATTATAAAGTTTTACGCGAAAACAAAATGGAAAAAAGCAAAAAAAAAAAAGCAATGCTTTGCGTTCGGGGTGAGTGAGTTCAAAAACAGAAATTCTGCTGTTGCAACTTTTACAATTTATTACTATAGACTAAGGCTAATTAGATAGGTACTAAATAAATCAAACGGAATAAATAAATACAATACAGATAACAGAGAATACTACTATAAACTAAAATTATTTAAATCTAAGGAACTCGGATAATTAATAAACATTGATCTGGTTTTAAACCTAACAATATTTACACTTAACTTTCTACACAAATCGATACCTATATTAATTGTATTCAATTTTCCGAATTTTTTATTAACTTTAATACAATTCAAATTGCTTAAAGTTTTTAAACGAGTATTATACAAATGCAGTGGTTTAAATATGGTCACATTAGTTTTAAAAAGATTTAAGATTACTTTTTTTATAAAAAAAAAAGGTCTTTATAATTCAAATTTGAAAATAAATTAACACTCGGACACAACTTAGGCTTACGCGAAATTATTTTTACTAATCTACACATTGTGGTCTCTAAATTCACTAGATGAGTACCGCATGTTCCGCCCTAGACTTCTATACCATAACTAATTATTTGTTGTGCAAGAGAAAAATAAACTATGTTTAATAATGGAGGACTCAAAATCTGCCTTAGATTTTTAAAAATATAAAAAAGTTTACGAACTGAAGTAGTTATATACTGCATATGATTTTACCATTTAAATTTTTCATCAACGATAACTCCTAAATACATAATAAAAAGCAACATTTTGAATGCCCATGCGTGAGCGTAACCTAATCAAATCTTATAATAGTAATATTATAACCGCGTTAGTCGGTAAAAATAAATATGGCTGCGACGACGACGACGACGGGCGCGGTGCCGGTTGCATAACCGTTTGTCACCGTCGTCGAATTAGGCGACGCGCAAAAACGACAATCTTATCACTTACCGAACGGACTACCCGTGTCGTAGTATAAATTCATAGACGCGCGCAGACTTTAAGTCGCGCACTTTCGGGTCGTGCCCAAGTAAACTTAATTTATTAGGTAAACCAACCTATCCCAAATCAACTTTTATTACCTTATTCAATACTACCGTAGGCGTGTACACAACCGAGTGACGTAATAAAAACGATAAAGAGCCGATACACATGCTAATCCGTGCTCCGCTGTCACCAGACGTAAGTCGGAATTTTAATATTTTTTAAACAATCGTTGTTGTCATGGAAACGTACATTGTTGTAACCATTTCACCATAATATGATGTAATATATACCTATTTTTGACAAAGCAACACTATCAAGTTTTAGTTTATTAGTTTTTAATATAATTTTTTTTAGTAAATATTTGTGGAACGTCGTCTTCGTCGGCACATATACAACTGTTATACGAATATACGTTCGTATTATTTATTTACACGGGTAGTTTACAAATTTATGTTTTATAATAACAAGCGCAATCGAGTTTAATTATAATAATACGTATTGCGTACTCATAATAATATCTAATTACATCTATTCACTATTATATTATCTTCTTTGTATTTTGTATGGACTGCTACACACAAATAATTACTTATAAATCGGAGTTAAATTTTAACTTCAATTTAAACCATAACATCATGATTTACGTTCCAATTATATGAAAATGCGTTACGGCAGACAAACATATCTGGCCGAGTCGAAAACTTGAAGAAATATTATTTTGAAAAAACCTAAAGTAAAAAGTGAAACAAAATAGAGTTTAAATTATAATAATAGTACTTGTATTTTGTACTCAATGGCGTGTTTAGATAAACGGATGTTAGGGCCACGTTCCCTTCATCTCGGGGTATAATTTTGAATACAAAAATATGCATAATATAGGTATTTTATTCAGTATACCTAATTAACTGACTATTATTTATTCAAAAGGAAAAACTCGATTTATCGAATGTAAATCGGTTTGCTGTAGATCCGGCTTTGAAATTCACACTGTCGGTAAGTCAGATATTACGTAGGGTTTATTTACAATTCACATTCTCAATTAAAACTTCCCTCCCGTTGGAAATTCCCGGACACGCCACTGGTTGTATACGCGATTATCATCGCATAATAACTGTGTCTTGACGCGGCCGCTAAATTCACGTACCTCTCTTTTGCGCGAGTTGGTAGATCTAATTCGCGAACGATTTCTACCTGTTTGCGAGGGCATTTCTATTACGACACCTTCATTCCGGCGACGTTTTGCCGCACTCTCGTAGTCGTTAATTTTCCCATCGGATAAATGACGCTTTATTGAATGGCGGTGGCCCGTCAATGACAAGTCCTTCATCATCCCAATGATAATTGCCATGTCTTTAGTATTCAATACGCCGACATTATAATCGTTTTCTAATATTACAAAAGTTTTTAAGGACGTGCGCGAAAAAAAAATGTAATTAAAAAATATACACAAAAATCAATTAAATTTTAAATTAAAATATATTCATATTGTTTTTACCAAACCGAACAGCAAAACGAACGCAAAAGAGATAAAAATGAGTATACAAAATAGCTATGTTGGTTTCTAAAAAAAAAAATTTATATTACAAAACAAAAAAACCTAATATATTTTTGATAAATAGTCCTGTTACACCATGTATATCGACTACTAGAATAAAATCCGCACTTATACCCGAAACTTAAGTAGAATATACGAGTAGATATCGTCTTACATAAACGCACGATATAGCAAGCGTTTAACAGAGACAGTTGTAGCGTGCTGTTAGTTTTAATATTAAAACAGTCATTATTTTTATCGAACTAATCAAACATTATCAGACTCTGTTTTGGTATACATTTGATTTTTGTCTCGGTATTTCAATTTTCCACGACAAATTATAGGTACCTGTGCATTTTTAAATTGCGATATTTTGTATACATTCTCGTAATATCTCGCTTAGCAAATTAAAATACCGAGAAAAAAAATCGTTGTATAAACACACACGGATAATATTCGTACCAACAAGTTTGCTGGTGATTTAATCGATTCGCTGTATAATATTAAAACCAAAAGCGTAAAATTGTCCCCGCTAAACGTAAATTCTGTGTGCCATATATTTGAAAGACGGAGACGAGCAAGACGCCACACTACGCTAAAAAAACATAATATCGTGTTATCTTATAAGTTTAATCTCAAAATAAATACTTACGACAGTCGTCCATCTCAAACTAATAATTAACAACGTTAATTTACAAACAAAATGAACAGTAAAAATGTTCGTATAAATGGCGAAAATGCACAAGAAATTTTTGTATTATAAACAGTTATAACTAATAAGTATATAATAAATATATCATGGAAGACGCGAACAAAATAATGGCGTATTAATTAACAGTAAGAAAAGTAGAACACTATGATTTTATAAATTTGTAAACTCGTTCAATATAAGAAATAACAACATTTGTCAAATTGATACAAACAAATTTTTCACGTTAGTTACCGAATAAATATTATTGTTATAATATCGAATGTTTGATCGACGTGCCATATAATATTAATTTACGATTTTTATTTACGCATGTATGATTTACCTATACTGGTCTTTTTCGGAATTCAAATAGGAAATCGATAACCTTATTCTATCATACGACGATACACGATACAAAACGAATTATTTAAAATAACATAATGAATTTATTATTCTTATTTTAGATTCTGAGTATAAAGAACAGTGTATTGGTTTTACTGAATTTTTTTTTTTTTATTTATNCCACTTCTAAAAAGGAAAATGTTGACCAGATGGTACTTTTAGGAGGTAATTTTTTGATTTTCCAAGCGGTTTTCATAATATCTGGGAAAAACCAGGATAAAATTTAAGAAAAACGGGAAATATATGAAAATAATACTTTTATTATTTTTCAATTTTGTTATTTGTTGTAATTCAGTTAAAATATTCGTAGAGACTTAAAATGTATAACAGAAAACTTATATTTGTCTTTTTTAGACGTGGAAACATTTTCAAAAGATTTAAGCCATTTATAGACATTTTAATTTTGCGAGTTTCGTACATCATTTTTATTCGATATACGATATGTAGCTATTAAAAAACGAGACTGGTTACGAAAAAGTGTTTTATTATAAAAATTATTCTACATTCAAATGCTCCCCTTTAATATACTCCCCTCCCCTTGCCACACACCTCTCCATACGTTTTTTCCATTGATCAAAGCAGTGCTGGAAAACTTCTTTGGTGAGGGCCTTTAGGATCTCTGCCGTTTTTTGCTTCACCGCTTCCATCGACTCAAATCGGGTCCTTTCAACGCAGATTTTATCTTTGGAAAAAAAAAAGACGCACGGTGCCAAATCTGGTAAGTACGGTTCGTGTTCGAGCACTGGAGTGCGCTTACCGTCCAAATACTGCTTCACAGATAGCGCGTTATGGGCAGGTGCGTTGTCCTGCTGCAAAATCCACGAGTTGTTCTTCCACAACTCGGGCCGTTTCTAACGAACTCTTTCTCGCAATGTTGCCAAAACTGATAAATAGTAAATCTAGTTTACAGTCTGACCCTTTGGAACCCATTCAGTCATCACGATACCGTCAATGTCAAAAAAAACGATCAACATTGCCTTAAATTTTGATTTGGACATCCTTGCTTTTTTGATTCTGGGCGATTCAGGTGTCTTCNCTTTGTTTCAACATCGTATTGAAAAATCCATGTTTCGTCGCAAGTTATAATGTTTTTCATCAGTCCGGGATCTTTTTTTAACTTTTCAAGGAAATCTGAGCAGACCTGTTGACGCAAGAACTTTTGGTTAGGAGTCAGGTTTTTTGGCACCAACTTCGCACAGACTTTTGTCATATGTAATTCGCCATGTAAAATTTTTCTAACCGTTTGTTTATCGGCGTTTACAGCCTCGGCAATCATCCAGATGCTCATTTGACGATCTGCACGCACAATTTAGTTGATTTTGGTCACTGTTTCAACTCCAGAAACAGTGACCAACAGGGCGACCTGGGCGCTGGTCATCTTCAGTGCACTCTCGGCCCTCACTGAAGCGCTTATACCACTCAAAAACACGTGCACGAGATAGATAATTGCCTCCATAGGCCTCTTGCAACAATTTATAGCACTCGGTCGGAGTTTTTTTCAATTAAACGAGAAATTTGAGATTGATACTTTGCTCCTGTTTTTCGTCACACATAGTTTTTGGCACGAAAAAAAACACGTTCGTTTCAAACCACTACTGCACAAATACTATAATAGTGATGAAAACGTGTTTTGGTACGTGCATAGATAAGATATCTAGATACCCAACGAATTACTCGTTTTTTTCACTACCCATCTATGGCGCCCTCTAGGCGAGCAGTCTCTTATTTAATAGCCACACCTCGTATACTCTGTAGATAAAATTTTTAAACCGAAGAGAAATGCTTGAAAATTTAACAAGAGGTTTATTATAAGTCATAAATTAAAGTCAAAAAAAATTGAGTGTAATTTTTTTTTTTTTTAAGATAATTTTAATATCAAATTTTGACGAAAATCGTAAATATTTTGGCCTTTCAAAACATATACAACCGAAATCCGCTCACGATTGTTTTTCGTTATCAAAGTTATCAAATCGTTGCGCACGGATATACATTAATTTACCCTCAATATCCTACCTTCCCCATATTTCTGTTTAGTCAAACACTTTTATCCACATAGTAACTTCCAAATAAAAACTAAAAAAAACTTGAAAATATAATATGATCATTATGGCTCAGAAATTAAAGGCATAAAAAAGGCAAAATATGTATACAAATATGCACGAAAAAATTGTAAAATATGCATAAAAAAAAGTTAAATGTGCTTAAAATGTAATAAATATGCAAACAATTATTCAGTTTATTATTCAAAAACATATAATGCCATTATTAGTATATGAATATACGATACACGTATCACACTGTTGTCATTAAATTAATTAACTGAGAGGGGTTAGGTTAATAACAAATTGATTTTAATGTAGTATTTTTTTATTTTTTTTTAACGGGAATTTTAATATTTATTGTTGACAAAAATCCTTTGAATAAAATATTATGTGGAATAAATCGAATTTATAATTATTTTTTTGTTTTAACATATGTATATTGCTGATTTAAAAACGATTGGAAAAGTCAAAATTAAGCGGACAGACTATGTTTCAAATTTATAGTTTTTGAAGTTCTGATATTATGCGTATATTATATGTTATAAGTAACTCTATATTGTTCTTCTTAAAGCATATTTGTCGTGATCTAATGCTTATTTATAACTATTATCATCCGAGGGATTCTGAGTTCAATGATTTTGGACGTACCTAGAGACCCAAGTCATTTCTCGGAATATTTTAATCGCAAAATACCCCTCGATTTGTTGTGCAAACTTATCAGAAATCTTACTCCGATGTATCAAATGTAGCTTATTTTTTAAAAGGAAATGTTCTCTCCACGGTAATTAAAGAAAGTCATTTTTCTAATTTCCCAAAAGTTTTTTACCAGAAATCTTGCTCCGATGTATCATGTGTAACTTATTTTCTGAAATTAAATTTTATCTTCATTGTAATTTAAAGAAATCGTTTTTTTGGTTTTTCAAGCATTTTTCATTATATCTTGGAAAACCCGGAATACAATTTCAAAAAAACGAAAAATATACAAAATGTAGGTATTATTAAAAAAATATTATGGCCTTTTTTTTCTGTATACCACTTTTCTACTAGTAATTTTGCTTCAATTTAAAATAATAGTATTTTTTCTGAAAGGGAATTTGACTGGGAATGTACTTTAGGAAGGTAAATTTTCAATTTTCACAAAGTTTTCCCAATAAATGGGAAAAATCAGGAAAAAATATGGGAAAATCGGTACAATATTAAACAAATTTTATTCAAGAAAATATATTATACTTATTTAATTTTTTTACCATAATATGACATATATATTGTTGACAAAACATCACAATCAACTGAACAGCCCTCAAAATCGTTTTTTCGTTAACAATGGTTTATCATGGTTTATGGTTGCTTACAGATATACATTAAATTACTTAAACAATGGCTGCACCCGTCTCCATTATCCTAGGACGTCTTTTTGTAACTTATGTTTTCTACCAAAAATATAGCTCCAATAGAAAAACTTCAAGAGACCATGTTTATTGAATATTGTACCTTGTTGCTCACACAACCTAACTCCCTCACCTTCAATAAAATTAATTTTACGGAGAAAATAATTGCCTACGAATTTAAAAAACATGATTTCAAATAGTTGCAAATCAGTTACAAAATTATGGAACCAGTATTGAAGTCAACTGGCCGATATAGGGGTGCTACGTGAAGTTGGTCCCCCACCAGTTGAT